TGAAGAAACACGTGTCCACACGGGGCACGAGGGGTTTATAAAACCACGAGAGAGAAATGAGCCCATCTACTTAAATTAATTATACATCCAGAGCCAGACAAGGAGCCCTCTCCTTAATAGTCCAAACCTGAGTTGCAAATAAGCATCTTCATTAGCTAGACTCAACTGAAAACAACTAAATGTAAAAACTAATGATTGAATCATGCAATGAAACCCCCCGCACAAAAAGGAAATATGCACTGAAACAACACCTTGCCGAGAGCCATACTACGGGCTCTCGGCAAAGGATATCTTTGCCGAGAGCTACAACACTCGACGAACATTTTTATGGATTTAATATATTTAAAGAAAACAGTTCACAAATGAGTCGCCGACAAGTGTGTCCCATGGGCCATGTATTATTCGGCAAAGACACCCCATTGTCACGGAGTCGTCAAGCGCAAATAGACATGACATGTGGCAACTTATTTCCTGTATTCACTGTTTGGCTCGAGGCATATATGTTCTTTGCCGAGTCTTTTGCCTCTACCTTGTGCTTTTTGGCAATGTTCTATCTCCGTTGTTGTGTTTTATGGTTTGCCGAGAGCGGCAGTCAGCGTATATCTCTTTGGCTTAGAGCCAAAAACTCGGCGTGCCACCAAATTCTAGTAGGTGGCGGGGCATCCAAACGGTAACCTGGAAAAAGGCCGGAAGCATATGGGCCTTAGACCCGCGCATCATCGCTTGTCGCAAAAATCCCGCCATATATCACGTGTATTGAGGCGTAACTCGGCCGCACCTTTGAGCACGAGGGAGTGGACAAGCCCAGTACTGTAGCCCTTCAGCTTGAACTGTTTTTCTTTGTTGTGCTTCTTATACTTTTTCATTTTTTCCATCGGATTTCTTCATACTATTACGATTTTCTTTGTTTCTTTCTTTGGTTTTTCATCGGTTTTCTTTGAGTTTTTTCTTTTTTGCAACACAATTATACCTTTTTATACTTATTGTACATTTTTTGCATATATCAGAAACATTTTTATGCATGCTTTATATTTTTCAAATACATGACTAATATTTTTTTCAAATATATGTGTTGAACTCTACTTTTTGTGACTATCAATGTACATTTTTTGCATATATCAGTGCGTGCGTGCGTGCGTGCATGTGTGTGTGTGTGTGTGTGTG